AAATGCTAACTTCCAGATTATCTGGAAAACTAAAGATGCAAGTTGCTAGAAATCTGGCATCCCAATTAAATTCTGATTTTTAAAAGTATATAAAATGTCCCTCAAATTACTACAAGTCCCACTGCAGACGTGTTTATTTCACCCTTCTCATAAGGTATTAAGTTTACAACTCGCTAAACATTTTACCAAACATGGGAAACCTGCCTGGAAATGCCAAGCACAATGACATAGTTATATGAAAGGAAGAAAAGATCCCTGTCAGGACAGTCACTGCGGCCCCGCACCAAGACGACCTGCAAGTCTGGACTTCTCAAAGTTGCATAGCTGCAAGATGGTCACTGCTAACAAGCTATTGCGCAGTTTTATTTCAAAAGAAACAATGTTTTTCAGAAACTGCAATTCAGTAGACACTTCTACATTTAATTAACTAAAATGTAATTATGTAACTTGATTTACTCTTTGGATGGCATTTTTATAATATTAAACCTTTAATTCAAACTACTAACATATTTTAGCTCTCCTATCCAGAAATCTATTTTTCACACATAGGGAAAAAAATGGAAGAACTTGAGATTATACTCTCCATTCATAGAATATTATTCTGTGTTGATTACATTTCTTGGTTTCACATTGAAGAGTTTGTAAGAACTAAATTGGGTGGTTTTCAAGTTAAGAATAGGTGAATGCAGAAGCATTATGTTGGGGAAAATAAAAAGTCCCCAAACTAAAAACAAACAAACAAATAAAACAAATACAATAAAACAGCAGCTCTACAGAACTTAATAAAAAGTAAATCAACTTTGAAATTAGTTAACTTTGGCGTCTGAATACAAAATGTTTATCAGTATCATCTACGCAGTGACTAGTACAGGATGTGCAGCATTTTCAAAATCCCTGTGTGTCCCTTATATGCAAGTTTGGTACACTGAGTTCTGTGGTTCCTGTCCATCTCTGGATTACCGAGTGTCACAGAACTCAGTTCCTGGCTGAGTAAGCCTGCAGTTTTCATTTTTTTTTCCCCAGAGACAGATCTTCAAATCTTCTAGATTTCTCAAGCATCTTGAAAAGACAAGAAAACCTGCATAAAAATAAATTATTCTAAGTCATGATCAATAATAATGCAAACAGAAATAAATATAACACCCACTTCCCCATGAAGAGTGCTTTACTACTGTAGCCTTTTATACCACCCTTTTTACTTCAGAAATTTACAAAATTATTATTCTGTAGAACAAATCAAGAAACAGCATGACAATAAAAGCTTAACATAGTCTAAGAAATCAGCAAAAACTTAAGCCATTCCTTTTCCACAGTAAGTGCTTAAGTATGCATATGAACACATATACATACATACACCCTCTCAAACTTAAAATCATCTCCCCAAATAAAAGCAGTAAGCAACTTCATAATTAATCAAGATTGTGCATATTCATGTCTCTATTTTGGGTTGGTAATTATTAAATTCTTATGCTATAGATATAATGCAAAGCCTTGCTACTTAAAAAGACTCCTTAAAGCTTTTGGAAACAGACTCCGTTGGTTTGGATTTCTGCAGGCAGATGTGTAGAAAGATCAACTTATCCCATGTAAGTTCGTCTCAAAGCACAGGTGCCATGTACAGAAACACTCCTAAAAAGGAAGGACTAAGATGTTAAGAAAACAAATGTTGTCTGAGCTTAAAAAGATATGCTGGTGACTATGAGATAGGATGTGTTCCAAAATCCCATGAGCTCACTGTAACATCAAACAAAAAAGTTCAGTGATGAGACCATGAAAGGAAAAACTGTCTGCTGTGATCTTGGTGTTTGCTAATCTCCATCACAGCAGCATCAGAGCCTTTCCTGGCCAATGACCTCTCTTCTGTCCTCCAAGGACACCTGAGGAATGATCATCGAAGACATTGTCTTCTGGCACCTTGATCTGGACTTTCCAGTGTGCAAAACTCTGAGCAAAGATTTTGCTCATCATCAGCCATCTCAGGTACTTTGTTAGGTTATCTTGACTGCACTAATACAGACTAAAAGGAGCATATTTATATGCAGGTTAAAGATTTAGGGATAGATTTTGGCATGTTAAACACTAAATTAAAAATACCTCCCTTTTTGTGTAGGTCAGGCTGACCCAGAACTTCTGCTACCATGCCCAGCAAAGCCCTCATTTTATTAGCACTAGTTTTTACTATTTCTTTTAAAATGCTTCAGTAATTTCCCCTTACTGTGTTGACCCAGACACAGGACAACACTTGACAGTATGGCAGGCATCCTCGCCATCAGAAAATCTTTTCAGGTTGGGGCACCACCTAGCCAGAACAGAACTTTAAGTTCAAGCTCTGAAACAACAACAGGAAACTTTACTGGGGCGTGGATGTACCCCAGTGTAAACTGCTGGCATGTACAAGATCATGGGTTTGATTTCCAACATCATAAAACAAAACCAATAAAGATCTCTACCTTTCTAATAGTGAACTAAAAACACTGACGCACACACCGGTGCCCTGATACAACCTCACTCCATCCCACTGCTCTGCACCAGAACTCCTGCTATCCCATTTGTCCTTAGGGTCTTTCAGCACCCCAGTCTCCCAGGGCCTTTGCTTTCTCGTGTACCCTGCTGTAGTTCTCACTGCTGAATCTGTTACCCTTAAGTTACCCTCAACAATGCTGCAACCATGTTTCTTGAGTACATCACTTCAATACCTAGACTTCTAAGCTAAAGAGCAAGAAATACTAGTTATATCATTTATTTATTGTCTGTGGAGGTGGGGCCCATGGGTGGAGGTCAGACAACAACATATGGGAATTGGTTCTCTCCTTCTACTATGCGGGTCCCAGGGATAGAATACGGGTTATCAGGCTTGGTGACAGGCACTTTTACTCATTGTTCTAGTTAGGGTTTTCATTGCTGTGATGAAATACCATGATCAAAAGCAAGTTGAGGAAGAAATAGTTTATTTGGCTTACACTTCCACATCACTGTTCATCATCAAAGGAAGTCAGAACAGGAACTCAAACAGGGCAGGAACCTGGAGGCAGGAGCTGATGCAGAGTCCATAAAGTAGTGCTGCTTACTGGCTTGATCATCTGCTTTCTTATAGAACTAAGGACTACCAGCACAGGGATGGCTCCACCCTCAATGGGCTGGACCCTCTCACATCAATCACTAATTAAGAAAGTGCCCTACAGGCTTGCCTATAGCCTGATCTTCTGGAGGCATTTTCTCAATTGAGGTTCCCTCTTCTCTGCTGGCCCTGGCTTGTGTCAAGCTGACATAAAATTAGCCAGCACACACATCAAGCACCTTGAAATTATTCAAGGATGGCAGAGAACTAGACCCCAGAACAACACTCCCAACTTCTAGTCACAGCTGCTCAGCAAGTCTACAGCTGGCTAGTCTTCTCACCTTCATCATGAGTCTCTCAGTTCTCTGAATCATTGTAAGATTAGCTAAATTAGCTTAAAGATGGCAACTAAGTTAACCTCATTTTTTTTTTCAATGCTAAATGATGCCTTACTTTAATTTTCCTTATGGGAGATACATTAAAGAAAAATATAGTCACGGTTTAGCTTTAATTCACTAAGCATTTTCAAATAAACTACCTCTGCAGAATAAAACCACTCTCCATTTAATACTGCAATGTGATGTATGGGCTGGGTGCAAATTGGCACCACAGACCACATGTCCTCCAAGTCACCTTTCCCACGGCTCTAACTTCCTTATCTGAGTACTGAAGTACTGAGCAGCTTACTCTCACTTCAAACAAGTAGCAGACAGGAAATGACCCCAGCACATAAGACTTCTGAATGACTGCAGTTTTATTACCTTAGAAATCACCTGGGACAATGCTTAAACATGTAGACTAAATTCTGTACAATTTGGACTTCAAGTGTGCCTTGCTTCTTTTTATCGTTCATGTCTGAGTGTGTGTGTGCCTGTGTTCATGTGTGTGAGCCAGAAGTTGACAAGTCATGTCCTCCTCAATTGCTCTCCACCATATTTTTGATATAGGGTCTCTCACTAAATCTGGAGGTTGCCAATTAGGCTAGACCAGTAAGCTCCCAAGATCCTCCTGCCTGCTCCCCCAGCATTAGTATTTCAGTGTGGACCACCTGCCCAGCATTTTTTCACATGGGTTCTGGGGATCTGAACTCGGGTCTTCATGCTTCCCTGGCATGCCCCCAACCCTCTTTCTTTAAACTACTTGACTCAGATGTAAATGACATGCAAAAAGCTATGCATATGCAACATAAGTATTCTGAGAAGTATGGTACAACTTGCTTTTTAAAATCATGGGACTTAACCTCTCTCTCTGACCCTTAAAGAATTCTTCCTGGAAGATGTGGTCATGATTTGTACCTCACTGTTTTTTTTTTTCCAAGTAGTAAACTGTTATTAAATAAACAAGTATGTTTCTAAGGAGCAAGGGTATTGTAGTTATTCAATACCTAACTCTATTCAAGAATCAAGAACAGTTGCTTTTCATATTATTGTTTTGCTGTTGTTTGGGGAGTGGTTTTGGTGCTTGTGACAGTTAAGTCTGTGTTCTAACCCTGAACAAGACTTAGCCTCCTTAGTATAGCTTTAAATGTGAGTTTTTATATAGTAGTCTTGCAAAATACCTAGAAAACATATACAGACATGCACACAGAAATGTGCCTTGGTGAGTAAATGGATGGATAACAGTGAGAGCTGAGGTAGCTTGAGAGGTAGCTCAGCGGCAAAGGTGAGTGCTTCAGAACCGAGTTCAATTACTGGGACCTCCACGGTCAAAGGCCAGAACGAATTTCTGCAGGTAGGTTGTCCTCTGACCACCACATGCAGTAGGCAAGTGCAGAGACACACACACACACACACACACACACTCTCTCTCTCTCTCTCTCTCTCTCTCTCTCTCTCTCTCTCTCTCTCACTAAAAAAGTTGAAAAAAAACTGAAGATGAAATAGTAATTCAAAATAATAGTTTATAAATCAATTAAAACAACAACAACAAAAAGGACAATTACCCATAACACAGGAATCTGATGCTTAATCTGAAGGGTGCTCTGGACAAGATCTATTTACTTCAAACCATTCATCTATGCAGCTAGAAAAGAACAAAACCAGAAAAGTATAAATCCTATGTATAATGATATCACAACAGTCATAATAAAAACATCTACTACTTGGCTTTTAGTGTCTTTGGAAAACAATCAGTATTTTTAATGTTCACACCTGCCAAATACAGTAAAGGATGTTAATTATATTTTACATTATTAAGGGAGAAAATCCTCGAATAATTATGCTATGACATACTTTCAAATTTAAAGAGAGTAACTATTACCTTAATGAACTACCATTTCATTAATATTCAAAAGTTAGAATAACATTTCCTTTTCAAAGTAGTTACACACAGGCCTGTTTAGCTTGCCTAGCAATGCAATAAAAAGCTTTAAAATTTTAATTCTTGACAATAATGCTTAACACTTAAAGTTTCATGTTTATAGATAATTATTGACCCTTTAATTCCACCCTGCTCTGCAGTCCATATATACACAGACAAAGATACCCTGATCTATTTACATTTATAGAGCATTCGTGGTCTTACTGGAAATGATGTACAGGGTACATATAATTATTCTTTGGGTTTGTGTATGTATACGTATGTGCATGCCTATATATGTATGTGTGTGTACATGTGGAAGCCACACACAACCTAGGAGGTCATTTCTCAAGTGCTTCCCACCTTTTTTGTTAAAACAAAACAAAACAGGGCTTGTCAGTAGCCCAGAATTCTCTAAGTAGGTTCGTGAGGCTAGCTGTCCAGTGAGTCCCAGTGAGACCCATTTCCACCTCCTTAAGCATTGAGATTGTAATGGCTTGTCACCACAGCAGCTTTTCTGTGTGTGTTCCAAGGATTAAACTCAGGTCCTCATTCTTACAAGACAAGCACTTTAGTGAGCTATCTTCGAAGCTCATAATTATTCCTAACATAGATCAGCAATGTCCAATGCAGTAGTTATTTAAATTCATTAGCTTAATTAACAACAGAGTCCAGTTTCTCAGCCCCATTTCAAGTGCTCTCAGTAGTGATGTGTAATGGCTGCTCCACTGTTGGACAGATGTAATACATTTCCCTCATTGTACAAAAAAAACAGTTGTACACATTGTTCCTTCATTTTCTCAAATTCGCAGAGCTGTGGCAAATGATTACATCAATGTCTTCAAAGGACAAGTAACTCAGGCAGCAGCGTATGAGTACTAGAGCAGGATTCAAACTTCTCAGAGTTCTCATTGGGGGCACAGGTTAATTTCTGTATGCTCATATAGCCAGGTTAGCCAGTATCCTGAAGGGACAAAAAGATGTCATCCTCATACTCTGACAGGGAGTTCTACAGGTGAAAATAGAAAATAAAGGTACACTACCTCAATAATCATGTCTTCCAAGTGACTAAAGCAACTCCTGCCACCACTGTAATATTTACTCTAAATACCATGGTTTAGTCTGGTCTGTACCACTGCACCCTGAAAAACTCATCTACAAAAATACATCTCAAACAAAATGCTCCAGCTGTAGTTACACTCACAGTGCATTTGAATAATACTCATGCAGTCTAAAATGGGTTCTTACTTTATATCCATGTCATCTAGGCTCATCATGAGAAGGCAATAACTCACTCCAGATCCCATCTCATCAAACTAGTATCAACTCACATAGTTTCTATTGTAAACTACCTCACTGGTTGTTTAGACTGTGATAGCCCTTTCTCTTAGCAGCTCCAACAGGAAATCAGTATTCTGAATTTTATTCTCAGCCATTTTCTTACCACATAATTATAGAGGCATGTATTCTAAATACACATAGTATTGTCCCATGTTTAAAAATCTACATCAGTACCACCATAAATATTATGCCGTTTTTGCCTTCTTTGTAAGTGCTTTTCAATTTGTATTCCACTATATAAATATAGCACATGGACTTGATGCCACAAGCCTATAATCCGAGCTGCTTGGGTTACTGAGGCAGGCAGGAAGATTATAGGTTTAAGACCAGCATAGAAAACTTGATGAGATCCTGTTTCAAAATAAATAATGACAAAAAGTATATCACAATTTTCTTATCTGTTCTTTTACTATAGATATTCCCAATTATCTATGAACAGAATCTGAAAGGTCACACAAATTATAAATTAATCTTGTCACTAATTATAGTTTGAACTGGCGTTTTTAGAGAGTCACAGTAAGGCTTTCTCACATCCTGGTTTAGATGCTTTCTTTCCTCCTGGTCGTAATTTTGGGCAGTGGCTGCTCTCTCTAGACTTCTTCTGCAGCACAGACTTGAGAAGAGAATGACTGACTTATAGCATATACATTGTAACTATAGCTGCTTACCAACCACATCAACCCTCTTTACTGAATTACATTTTCAAAAATCTTTTATCATAATTGATATGTGGGGTGTGGGGTGTGGGATGTGGGTGTGGGTGAGAGAGATTTGGTGATTATGTGCGGGCACGAGCCCACAGGAGTAAGTTCTTTCGTTCTACCTAATGGTGCTGGAGATCCAACTCAGGCGGTCAGACTTGGAGGGAGCACTTTTCCCCACTGAACTATCGCACCAGTCACAATTTTTTCTTTGCATTTTTCAATGTTCTACAGTTTTTTTCTTACAAATTTTCAAGAAGCTACTATTATTCAGGTACCTTAGTTACTATATATATATTTGGGGGGGGTCAGGCATCTGAAACAAGATCTTGCTATGCTGATCACAAATTAGACATCTTTCTGCTTCTACCTACTAAATAATGGCACTGTTTAATAGTTTTTTAATAACCCTTTCCACAAAATTATAAACTTAAAATAACAAGGTTTGATGGTAAAAAAAAGATTAAAGGCAGACCATGCAACATAATTTGTTATCAGAAAAATGACATGTTCATTTCTAATAAATAATGTACTTTTCAGAATGTTATTAGTTTATTGCCATATATAATTAAAAAGAATCCAGACTGATAGGCCATGAAGACAAAAGCCAATGCACATAAAACTGAGAACTGTGACTTGGGCTCCTTTGAAACACATAGCCTGAAGGGATACCTACAGGGCCATGGGGGATGAGTGCGCTTCAACACTGCATTACTGCATGGCTTGTTGCAGTTGTGTCTTCTCCTCTGCAGCTGTACAAAGCAGCACTTATGGTGGAGAAAAGGTATCACCTGGACCAGACTAGTACCATGTCATTACACTATCATGCTTCTATCTGCCAACTTAAGCATCATCTGCTACAGCAACTAACCAAAGAACTGTGTATTATTTCAATCACAAAACTTTTGTTGTCAAGAGCAATTTCCACTACAAAGTCTAGTTTCTACCTCAAATGTGAATATGCTACAATTTTTAAACTATCAAATTTTAAATTATCAATCTTCTAAGTTTATAATTTAAATTTGTCTATGTGTATGTATGTGTGCCTAAATGTATGTAGGGTACCATGTGTGTGCATCAGCCCTTGGTAAGAGGGAGTTAAATCCTCTGGAACTGGAATTACAGGAGGCTATGAGCCATGTGAATGCTGGGAACCGAGCTCAGATCCTCTTCACAAGAGCAGAACAGTTTTCTTAGCTGCTGAGTCATCTTTGAGCACCCTTAAGCTTATTTGAGGGGGCGGGGATGGAGGGGAAAAGGGTATATCTTAAGCAAAAAAAATCCTTACCAAAAGGTCAAAAACAATTCCTTATTTTCTTCCCTTATTTTACTTCTTTAGATTTTTGAACTTCACAGGTATTACGGAGACAACCTAGAACTTTTATTTCAAATTTCAAAAATGACTCAACTGTTTTTCCATATCAATAACCAATTAATCCAGCACTACTCATCAACAGCCTACACTCTGACACTGTGACACCATCTGTAGTCAAATAATTTTTTCACTCAATTTAGTGCCAACATTTCCCATATTTTAACACATTTAAATCCTCACAACCACATGAAGTTTGTACTATTGTCCTTTGGTCACTGCTCTTTAGCCCTTCACTTATTTATATATATAAACACTGTGTCCAGTTACAAGAAACTAAGATTTGATTGGGAGAGTGTTGTAGAATATTATTTTAAGGTGTGTTACATTTGTTTATGAAGTGGAACATTTGTTTTAATGATGTAAAAATGTGTTGTATTTTTTTTATGTTGCATTTGTTTAACTCTGTGAAGCTGTGTTACTGTGCCTCTCTAAAACACCTGATGGTCTAATAAAGAGCTGAGTGGCCAATAGGGAGGCAGGAGAAAGGATAGGCAGGGCTGGCAGGCAGAGAGAATAGAAGGAGAACTCTTGGAGGAGCAAAGAGAAAGAGCAAGAGAACAAGGAGAGGAGGACACCAGGGGCCAGCCACCCAGCCACCTAAGAGTGAAAATAAGATTTATAGAAGTAAGAAAAAAAAAACCCAGAGGCAAAGGGTAGATGGGATAATTTATGTTAAGGAAAACTGGCAAGAAACAAGCCAAGCTAAGGCCCAGCATTTATAACTAAGAGTAAGCCTCTGTGTTTGATTTATTTGGGAGCTGAGTGGTGGACCCCACAAAAAAGCAAAAACAACCAACAGGATAGCATTAACTATATAGGCTAATTAGGGTATAAATATTTTTATAATACTGCATTTTTCTATACATAATATGCTTTACATGTATAAATCTTAGATACCTTATTTCAATAAGGTTTTAAATTTTTTTTAAAAGAAAGTCTCATATACCTTTTCTAGAAATTATTTCTAATACATTATTGCTTCTGTAGCCCTTGTTACTTTTAATGGTACTATTTAAAGAAAAGTTCATTTTTTTTCTTTGTGGGACATGAAAGCAACAATTTCCACACATAAGTCACCTATCTGACAACCCAATAAACCCTCACTGATTTAAATAATTTTTATTCCCTATCACCCATCTCTATCTACCCATCCATGCATGTGTGTGCATGGGTGTGTGTATGTGAGCACCCTGCTGTGCATGCAGAGGTCAGAGAGCAGCATACAGGAACTGGTTCTCTCTTTCTGCCATGTGGGTCTGGGGGAAAAAGCTTGAGTTGTCGGCCTTGGCAGCAAGTGCCTTTACCTGCTGATCCCTCTCACTGGCCCAGTTCTGATATCGTTCTGACCTATTATTTAGCCTGAGTTTTTGCTGTAAAGGTCATGAACACAGACAGACTTTTCCTTAAAGCTTCCTCATTTACTGGGTTAATGGTCTCATTTTATAGTGTCGGTTCAGCCCCAGCATAAATCCAATTTGGTCCTGAGGTATAATTTAATTCACTCATTTATTTGCTTGTTTATTCTGTGTATGTGTGTGTCACTAATAGTTGGCTCCAGGTCCTAAGGCAAGCGCTTTTCCACAGAGCTTATCCCTAGCATGAGACACTACTTTAGACTGGTATTGTTCAATCTGGATTTCTGCATTTTAAGTTTCCGTCGCACTCAGTCCTTGTCTGGTGTCAAATAGCTGCTGTTTTCTTTCTTCTCTGAATGCAGACCCACCGTCAAACCATCTCTGAAGGCTGCTTTAGGGTTTGTTTGCTTTTCTCTAATCAAAGTTTGCTATTTTTCAGGTTTAGTCTTAACTTCTTAAAGCAGTCAGCAGTTGAGGTTTTGAATTTTTTTAATCAGTATTTATAAATTTACACATTTAAAGAAATTGTCCATTTGTTAAAATTCTAAATTCAAGAATATTAGCAGTGAGTTTTCCATTTATTCTTAATTTGTGTCAAATTATGTCCTTTTCTTTTCTATTTTTTCCTTCTGGAGACAATTCTGTTAACAGTTTTTCCCAGAATTATCTTCAACTTTAGTGCATTGTGTGGTGGTATTGTGTTCCCCAAAATATTGTGCACCCTAATAAACTTATCTGGGGTCAGAGATAAAACAACCACAATGGCTAGAAAATGGTGGCACTCACACCTTTAATCCTAGCCCTTCAGAGAGAGAAATCCCTCTGGATCTCTGTGAGTTCAAGGCCACATTGGAAATGGCCAGGCATGATGACACACACCTTTAATCCCAGGGAGTAGTGATAGAAAGCAGAAAGGTATATAAGGTGTTAGGACCAGAAACTAGAAGCATTTGGCCAGTTAAGTATTTGGCTGGTTAAGCTTTTAGGTTTTGAGCAGCAGTTCAGCTGAGAGCCATTGGGATGAGGACACAGAAGCTTCCAGTCTGAGGAAATAGGACCAGCTGAGAAGTTGGCCAGGTGAGGTTAGCTGTGGCTTGTTCTGTCTCTGACCTTCCAGTGTTCACCCCAATACCTGCCTCAGGTTTGATTTTATTAATAAGAACTTTTAAGATTCATGCATTGTTTTTAATCAGCACTTTCTCTGTCTGCTGCTACTTTGCTAACTCTCAGCATCTACTCTGCAATCTCCCGATTACTCACTATAGGCGCACATCCAGACTGTTTGTCACTGTTCAGTTACAATTGTTTCCCACGTTCTTTGATGTATATGTTATTCAGAAGGCTGTCTAAGAATGAGTTCTGCTGTCATTCCTGGTATCTGATGATGGTCAGAGTTCTGTATGGTGCCTATTTATTGTAAAGGTCTGCTGAGGTATGCTTTATGGATTAAAACACAACTGATTTCTAGAATATTCTTTGTGTACTTGACAGGGAAATGTATGCACTCATTAGACTGAACCACAGGCTGGGGGTGCAGTTCAGTGGTAAAGAATGCAAGGCCCCAAAGTCTATCTCCAGTACCAAGAAATGAGCTGGAAACAAGGCACAGAAGCCCAGCCAAAATGCCTGCTCTCAGGAGGCTGGGGAGGAACAAGCTGAGGGCAGTCTAACCACATGGAGATTCTGAAGCTATCCCGGGCCAGGAGTTAGAGTCTATCTGCAAAAACAAACAAAACCAAATCTTGAAAAGCTGAAACGATTCAATTTAACTGTATCTTAACTCATTTTATTTATTTAGTGAAACTTTTCCATTATGATGACAGAGTTGTCAGTTTCTTCTAACAGTTTACATGTTAACACAGATCAAGGAGAGTTTTCAGCATTTACCATTATACAAAAAATCTTCTCTAAATAATGCTGCTTTGATGGTTTACTTTGTGTGACATTGGTACACATTGTTAGTTTAGTTATTACTGCCTGGATATAGTTCTCTATCCTTTTAATTCCATATTTGTCCATACCCTTAACGCATGTTTTTTATCAATATTCTAATATTTCACCTAATTCCAGTTTATTCTTATAGATAATAATTACTGGTATGTCTGGATTTTATTTTTGTCTCCTTATTTTGAATTATTTACTCTGCTTTCTCTATGTTTTTGCTACCTACCCCCTCCCACTCAAATAAAATTACATCTTATTCTTTTCCTTGGTTCAAATGCTACAGCTTCCTATTCTTTTTTAAAATTTAAATGTATTTTATTATTATTTCTTTTAATCATCTGTATGTGTACAGATATGTGCATTTGAGTGCCGGTACCCTCCCCCAAAGCTAGAGTCACAGGTGGTTGTGAACTGCTTGACATGGGTGCTGGGAACTGAACTGACTAGTATGTGCTCTTAACCCCTGAGCCAGCTCTCCAGTCCCTAATTTTCTATTCTTTACGTGGCTACCTCAAATAGTGGTGGTTTTTGCAACAGGGTCTCTCTACTAGCCCAGAACTCACTATGTAGATCAGTTTGGCCTGTAACTCACAGAGAGTCACCTGCTTCTGCCTCTTGAGTGCTGGGATTAAAGAAGTGCCATACCTGGCTTTGTTTTTTAAACTAAAAATTGTTGTGTTCTTCTGAAAGCAAGAAGAATGTTCAAAACACCAGATGGGCTTTGGAGTCAATCTCTTGGAATTCCCAATCTGTTGGAATCTTGGTTTGCCATTTGCTAGAAATAGAGGTCTGGAGAAACTTCCTCCTTTCTCTTTTCCCAGCTGTGAAGGGAAGAGGCTGCTAGGCTTACACAGACCACCTGCTGCTAGATGCAAACACCTGCACCACACTAAGTGCTTTAGAAATGGCAGTCTTTTAGATACAACAGATGTATGTTCAAATTTTATCTGAGCAAAGTGGGGAAGGGAGGCAGGTGGGTGGGGTGTTATTGAGATTCTAAATTTGGCAGAAGAGTTTGAATGAAGAAGAAACTTTTTAGTCCTAACTATAAAGTTTGAAACTAAGAATAATCCCTTTGCTTTACTATCAACTTAGTTAAAGTACTACTAAACTTACCCTTTATGGTATATACACAGGCAAGGCAGTCGTGCTATGGTATCTCCCTGCTGCAATTCCTCAAGGCATATTGCACATTCCCCAGCATCTTTACTCAGCACATCCTCTGTGAAGAAAACAATGAATTCAGTACAAGAAAACTAGCCATCAAACTGGGGGGGAAAAAAAAAAAACACCAAATAATGACTTCTACCTGTACAACCATACAAAACCCAGCACCTGTACTTGAAGTACTGTTCACACTGAGTGACGCTCATCAGATCTGCTTCTGGACGGTGCCTTGCATTCCCATTGCACTGAGGCATAAGAGTAAGCCACGGCATAGTTCTCAACTTACACAAGGTTCTGATGCCAAAAGATCAACAACTCAGTCATTTGTAATTTGTAGTTAAGTCTTTCTGTTATGTATCAATATTAGTGTAGTGTCCAAGATAGTTAAAAGAAAGTTTAGTATAGTATGGCTGAAAAGACATGAATATAAACCACCACTCTAAGGTTTTTAATTAAAGGAAACAAAGAGAAATCACCACAGGAAACTGCTAAAAAGCTGCTTATCTTTAAAAAAAGAAAGAAAGAAAAAATAAGAGAAAAAAGCAGAAGGCTATCAGTGCTCTTGCTTAAATTCTGAAACAACTTGAGGAACTTGAGAGTTTCAGAGACTGTGTACAGGAGGGAACTCTTCACAGCCCTTCATGCCACACCAACCCGACAGTCACCTGAGTGACTTCCATGCAGCACTGAGGGTATTCTAAAAACTCTGTGGTGTTTTCAAGGAAAAACCCCTTACTCCAAAGCAGATATGCCTGTAAAGGGTTCTGAAATTCTAATTTAAATTGTTTCAATGTTATTTTATTTATTTGTTTGCTTATTTTTGAGACAGAGTCTTACTGTGCAGCCCTGGCTGACCTAGACTCACTATGTACACCAAGCTGGCCTCAAATTCACAGAGATCCTCCTCCACCTTTGCCTCTGAGTGCTAGAAATAAAGGTGTGCAACACCACACCCAGACGACTGTTCAATTTTAACCCTGCTTTAACTAGCACATTAGCTAGAGATCCTTTGTGCCCTTTAAAAAAGCTGAAAATCATGCCCTCACTGCAGAGTATGAATAAAAGACTTGCAGAGAATAGTGTGGCTCCCTCTCAATGATTCATTCTGAGACAGCAGATGGAGGGAAAATAGTCTATTTTGGTCCACAGAAAAGCCTGGTAATGAACAACTTCCGTGGGGGGAAAAAGGTATCAGCTCTCAAAAGCTAATGCATTATAATCAGCAACAACTGCCGCAGAGATAAAAAAAGTATTATACCATTTCCCTCACATTCCTGAACTTTACGGTTTCTCTGTTGACCCTCGAGGACCCCAGCCTTTCCCCTTTTCTGTTTTCTCCCTAGAGAGTTCCCTTCTGTCTCTCCCTTGACCCTTTTCTTTATCTCCACTGAAGTCTTAGTGTCTAGCCTATCATTAAGGACCCAGTTCACAGTCAAAGCACTAAACAGACAGATAGCAGGGAGAGCAAAAGGTTTCAACCCCAGCACTGCAAAATAGAAAAAAAAAAAAAAACACTTTGTAAAGGTCTGTAACTCTAAAAAATAAAGTGTATTCCTACCACATAGATTCTATCTGCAAAGATAAACCAAACAAACGTATGAATGAATTTTCTAATAAACTTCAAAACTATTTTTTTATACAACCCATAACTGACTATGACATTACTGGCTTGATATAATCCCAAATAAGAAAAATACACTCCCATAAGTTATGACACACAACCCTAGTATACAGAAAGCTTAGGCAGGAGGACTTCAAGTTCAAGGCTAGCCTGGGTCATACAGGGACCTTGTCTCAAAAGAAATAATTAAAAGCAATCAAAACTGCAGCACACATTGATCTTAAAACATAGCAGTCTCGCCAGGCGGTGGTGGCACACGCCTTTAATCCCAGCACTCAGGAGGCAGAGCCAGGCGGATCTCTGTGAGTTCGAGGCCAGCCTGGGCTACCAGGCGCAAAGCTATACAGAGAAACCCTGTCTCAAAAAACCAAAACCAAAACAAAAACATAGCAGTCTCTTCTAGCTAACAATGTGTTCAGACTTCAGCAGAAAACAACTCTCAAGTCTTATCACAAAATAAGATGAATGAGATGAGCACGTGAAAAACCAATGCCATTATTATTTTCCTGTAACTCCACATTATAGATTCAACATGAAATAGAAATATGTAGAACTTTAACACGCTCTGAATACATCGTTGAGAGAAAAATAAATGACTTCTAACACTTCTAGGCTAACCTATAACCAAGTCTCATTTATTACAATAAGCATTTTTTATAAACTTTTCTATGACAATTTTAGTATTTATTAAAGCTAAAATATATAATTGAAGTTTTTATTTAAAAATAGTTTTATTTAAAAACTCACACAATAAAGGCAAATCCAACCTACAAAAGTGTATTAGGAATATAAGAAATAAGAATAAGAATTATATTTTAAGAATTCTATATAATGAATGCTGTTTTAAACTTGATGGGGGCAAGTATGAACTCTCAAATACTTTCTACCTTAATTCAGAATATGGTATTAAAGCCAGTTATTTTGATCTTTAATTCTATTCAGTTCCAGTACAATCACAACTGCACTTTCAGTATCAAGACAAGCACACCCACACACAAACACCCCAGACAGCAGCTTACAGCCAAAGCTCAACCTCTGCTGGAAACAGCTTCCTGTAACCTCTGTCAGACAATTAAAAGCCAATGTTAACACTCCAGCTCAATGCTCAAATGTAATCTGCTAAGTGACTAAATTAGAATATGTTCATTCTTAAAGTAAAACCTCATAATCACTGTTTCAAGCAAAAAATGCTCAGTTTTTCAAAATTTAAAGTTCCCCTATAAAATGTACCCGATAATATTTTTACTTAAAAAAAAAAAAAAAAAAAAAAACACTTTGTAAAGGTCTGTAACTCTAAAAAATAAAGTGTATTCCTACCACATAGATTCTATCTGCAAAGATAAACCAA